GGCTTTTTGAGTGAGGGTAAATGTGAGCATCCTTACCTTTGCAGCAGGGCTGATTTGAGTGCTGCTGGTGTCTGTTCCTTGGATGTATTTATCTGGAAAAAGGCTGTTCTGAGGATTGGCAAAGGATCTCTGAAGTTGATGCTTCAAAGCTCATTTTGCTGTTACTTTGTGTGACCCCTACACTTAAGGCAGGCCCTTCTATCCATCAACAGCCCAGGCACCCCAAAAGAGTGGTCTGTGCCCTTATGGGGAATCTGGGAAGGTGACTGCAGGGTGTCTGAAGTGGAAACCTGATATTGCAGGATAAAGCCTGTAAATGTCACATCACATCACCTGTAAGAGATGTGAATCTCACTGTGTTTCCCTCAGGCTGTCCCTGTGTGACCTGGCGGGCTCCGAGCGCTGCAAGGACCAGAGGAGTGGGGAGCGAATGAAGGAAGCCAACAACATCAACACCTCCCTGCACACCCTGGGCCGCTGCATCACCGCCCTCCGCCAGAACCAGCAGGCCAGGTGAGCAGCCACTCCTCCAGAGGGGAGGGTGTGGGGGGTTTGGTTTTGCTTTCCCAGCTCACTGCTGTCTCTGCCCCAGGACAAAGCAGGCGGTGGTTCCGTTCCGGGACAGCAAACTGACCCGCGTGTTCCAGGGCTTCTTCACCGGGCGCGGGCGCTCCTGCATGATTGTCAACATCAACCAGTGTGCCTCCACCTATGATGAGACTCTGCACGTAGCCAAGTTCTCAGCCATTGCCAGCCAGGTGAGTAACACACACCAGGATCATGGCATGGTCAGGGTAGCTTGGGTTTCTCCTGCTTCTGTGGGACTTGGTCCTTTCCCACCACAAGGAGAAGGGGGCATGCTTGTACCTCATCCCTATGCTTCTCTCCACTGGTTATTACCTCCAGGAGCATTTCCAGATTCTGCTAAACTGAAATGGCTGACAGGTTGCAGAGAGGGGCTGGCTGTGTTTAAAGACCAAACAACTTCCAGGCTTTGCAGATTGATAATGATGGTCTTTTCCCCTTCAGCTTGTTCAGGCACCTCCCACAAAGCTTGGACTTCCATCCTTAAAATCCATCATCAAAGAACACAGCAGGCGAATCAGCCAGGGTCCAGAGGCAGAGCCAGAGGAAGATGTGGAATCAGAAGAAGACGCAGAGGATGAGGCAGATGTCTCTACGTATGAGAAGAAGGTGGGTTGTGATTTGTTTTACAGACTTTATGTGGATGCAAGATCAAGAATGTGATTGTTAGCTTTGGCCTGGGGAGCTGGGATTGGAGCTCAGAGAGAGCCAAGAGAGATGACACAGAACCTCAGAAGGAAAAAGGACCCAGGAAATTGGGAATCCTTGACAAAAACATTCTGCAGTTGGTCTAAATCTGACACAAATGCTGAATTTGAAAGCACTTTGTCATCTGTGGAACAGTGGCAGTAACAGTGCAGGTGCAGACCTGTAATTCCTTCAGAAAACATGCAGAACAGGAATCTAAATGGGGAAAAAAATAATCAAACTTCCTAGATAAAGCAGGCAGTGGGGATAGCTGAAAGCTCAAGGTGAAGTCATCCCTACAGAAACACAAACTGTTGTGCCAAGGTAGCAAACTCTGGCGACTTTTCTTTCCAAGTGACCAAACCCTTAAATCTAGATCCCTGCATCCTGCAGACACGGCATCACTCAGTTTCCTGCAGGTCTGAGCTCTGTAGTGCAGCGTGGGCAGCAGAGCTGTGTCTCTTGCAGGACCTGCTGCGTGCGGTCGAGGCTGCGCGGGAGCTGCTGGCGCAGGAGCGGCAGAAGAAGCTGCAGCTGGAGATGCGCCTGCGCGAGGAGATCTGCAACGAGATGCTGGAGCACATGCAACAGAAGGAGCAGTGGTGGAGGTACAGCCTGTGCTGCTCTCCCTGCCTCTGCTCAGGATGAGCTGCAGCACCCAGGACTGCCAGATCCTGATGTGGGGTTGGTTGTTGTCTTTGTAGCCAGCACGTGGATGCTCAGAGAGAGCAGCTGGAGGAACTGTACGAGGGTAAAATGAACATCCTGAAGGAGTTACTGACTGACCACTACCAGGAGGAGATGCAGGTTTGTTCAGGGCAATCAGGAAAGCAGCAGTGGGTTGGTAAGGGACTCTGGGTACTTGAGTGCAGGAAGATCTTTATGCATGCAAAGTGAAAAGAAAGCTTTTGCTTTCTGAGGTATTTTTGGTGATATGATTTCATCCCTTGATCCACAATTTTTGCTTCTTGTCTCCTACTTTATGTAGCCCACGAGGCTTCTTAATTTTGATCAGTCAATCTGGAAGCTAATGTACAACCATCCTGATTTGTCCATTTGTTCAACATGATTCTCTTCCCCCCTCACTCCTTACACTAGTGGCTGGATTTGGGCTCTTCAGATTCACACAAGATGAGTTAATTTCTCTTCTGGCTCTCAGTTGTGACGATGGGTATGGACCTGTCCATATTTTCATGCCTACAGCGTTTGAGTGACCTCTGGGACTCCTTGCAGACTGCTCTTAAGATACCAACTTCCAAAACAATCCCTCTTCTTTAGAGTCTGTAAAAAGGTGGTTTAGGCTCCCAGGAAATGGGTTTGCTGTACTCACTTAAAAGTAACCTTAAAGGCTGAGTTCAATGTGTGAAGTGTAGGATTGAGAAATTCTCCAGGAATAAAGACACAGAACGTTTCACACAAGTTGTGCTACAAAAATCTTGCTGACTCTCTGAACAAACTTCCTTTCTCAGGAGCGTGACGAGGAGATTTCGGAGCTCAAAGCTGCTCTGAAGGAGACCAAACAAAAGCTGGAGAGCCTGGATGCCAAGCAAAAGGAGTCAGAGCAGAGTGTACGTCGATCCAAGCGAGCGGGCACCTCGTCTGCTCTGCAGCAGGAGCTGGCAGACACCAAAGCCAGGCTGGAGCAGTGTCAGAAGGAGCTGAATTCCACAAGTGCAGGTACATCAGCGATGCTGCACAGGTTCTGAACCCTGCTGAGAGCTCCCTGTGCAGGGTTAGAGACACTTCCTTCAGGGTACATTGGATTTAGGCCCCCTCAAAACATGATTTGACTTGTAGGTGACAGGAATAATGTGCTGGATGGGCAGTTTCACTTCATTTTCACAGGAAAATGGACTTTAGCACAGGATAATCCTTCCATTCAAATTCTTAAGCCCCTTTGTCTAAGTGAATGGGAGAAGCCTGGAATGTTTGTGCCTTTCTGCACAAACTCAAAAGCTTGTTCCAGCTTGCCTGTGGCAGCTTGTCTCAAGGCAAGTCCTGAATTTCAGGAATACTGAAAGCTGATCAATGTCCTGTTTCTCACTACTTTTTGTCTGTTCCTAGAGTTGCACAAGTACCAGAAATTAGTGGAACCACCTCCCTCTGCCAAACCCATTACTATGGATGTGGATAGGAAGCTGGAGGATGGACAGAAGGTAACTCCAGTTTGTGTTACAGAAAAGAACATTTGCAGGGCAGAGTGGTTGCCAGCTTAAAGAGAGTTTGGGGCTGCTGTTCCCAGGTTTTTAAACAAATGAAATGGGTTTGTTGAACTTACAGGAGTTTTTGAAGGTTGTAGTATCTGATCACTCAGATGGGATCCTCCCTCAGTGCTGCATGTCTGAATTTCCTTGGGGTGGCTTTGTTTGCAGAGCAGTGCCAAAACCAGCTGTTGCATTGAACCCCTCTCTTCTAGAATGTCAGATTGCTGCGTGCAGAGTTACACAAAATTGGGGAGTCTCTCCAGTCTGCAGAGCGAGCGTGCTGCCACAGCACAGGGGCAGGGAAGCTGCGAGAAGCCCTGGGCATGTGTGATGACATCCTGGCAAGACAGGTGATGTGTCTGCTGTGCTGTGGGCTGCATGGGGGAGAGGGGTCCAGTCTGTGTGCTTTGCCATAATCACAGCAACCAAAGTTCTGGCTGCTGCAAATAAAATTATTGATTTGCCAGTGCGTATTTTGTGAAGGGAGCTCTATGGTTGGTTTTTTCAATGGCTGTTAGTTGTGTATTTACCTCTCCACAGGAGACCCAAATTGTTCCTGTTCAGTTCACTGGCAGCCTGCACTTAAAGTAGGAGAATTCAGAGTTCTCATTTCCCTATCCACTCCATCACAGTTGCTATGGCAGCATATTTGCAGCAGGATGGAGCCAGCCTTGTCCCACCCTTACTGTCCCTATGTGTTAGTGAACTGCTACACTGTTCACAGTAGAAGCTTTTATGCATGGTCTTATTTAGCAGAACACTTAGTGAATTTTGGCAAGAGGCTGTTTATCCTCCTCAGTTCACAGTAACCAGGGAGTTAAGACAACTTCTCATTGTACCTGATGGGAGCATACAAGAAAGCTGGAGAGGCACTTTTTGTACAAGACCAGGGGCAATAGCTTCATATTGAGGTTTAGATTAGATATTAGGAAAAAATACTGTAAGGATGCTGAAGCACTGAAAATACATTTCCTAGAGAAGTTGTGGCTGCTTTGTCCCTAAAAGTATTTTAAGGCTAGGATGGACAGGGCTTGGAGCAAGCTGGTCTAGTAAGAGCTGTCCCTGTCCACAACAGAAGAACACAAGGATCTTTAAGGTCTGCTCCAACTCGGAATGGGCTTTTATTTCTATGGGCTTTTATTTTGATATTTTGATATTTTAAAAATATATTTGTATCTTGTTTTTAGGACCAGACCCTGGCAGAGCTGCAGAACAACATGGTGCTGGTGAAGCTGGACCTGCGCAAGAAGGCGGCCTGCATTGCTGAGCAGTACCACACGGTGCAGAGGCTGCAGGCGCCGCCCACCTCCGCCCTCAAGAAACGCTTCTGTGCCAACAGGGAGAACCTGCAGCCCAATCAGCCTCCTGGCAAAAAGCCCTTCCTGCACAACATCCTGACACGTTCAGCCACCCGTCCTGCGGCTACCAGAGGCTGGCAACTTCGTTCAGTTGCTCTATGACTTTTGAAAAGGAGGTCCCTACCCCGCTGTTACTGGAACAGGTGGCAAATCCAATATAATAGCATCTGGTTTTCATTGTGCGCTTCTTTATTGTTATTGTAGCTGCTTGAGACTTATGTAAACATCTCTGGATATGTATGTTTAAACTTTCAAACAATACCAAAGTGGACAAAGTGACCTTATGTGATTTAAACACTATACTGAGGAAAGTCTTCAACTGTAAAATAACGCAGATGATCAACCTGTTTAACAAAAGAACAAGATAAAGGTGTTCTTGTCTATGTTGGCACACAATTCAAAAAAATAAGTTCGTAAGTTCCTCCTTGAAAGATACTTTGCCTTCCTTGAATTATAATCCTTTATTGAAGTATACACGGTCTAGGCCACGGTGGCTGGCTTGGATCTTGGCTCGCAAATCTGGCTCCAAGCGTGACACCGCCATGGAACTGAGCAAAATAAACAGAAGGGGTTACACCAAACAAGCACCAGAGAGGAAAATGAGATAGACAATGCATCTGCTAAAATTCCTACACTGTCAAAAGAGTTTTTAGATATTTTTAAATATCTTATCCAGGGCACATGAATCCCTGCTCCAAGGGCAGTGGGACAGTCCATGGAGTCAGGAAATGGCTGTTGCTGTTACCATGAGGGTAAGGATCCACTTCCTTGCTCAGGTTGTTGCTGGCAATTGAAACTTACCTTCCTAAAATTATTTTTATTAAATAGAATCTATTTTCCTATTTAACTTACTATGTCATTTTATTCAGTTGAATAAAAGGATTGTTTTTATGAGAGCTGGTTCACAGTAAAGAGAAATAACCTGCCAGGTCATTTGAACAGCTGCAATTTCCTGAACACAGTTCAAGGTCTAATCTTCCTCTGAACTGGAGAGCCCTGGCTGAAATCAAGAACTGTAGCCTGTGTGCTGGGTTGGTTTGTCAAGTCATCTCCAGGTAGCCTAGTGACACTTGTTTACCACAGTTCCCTGTCCTGGGCCAAGCAGGGAGACAGATGGTGTCAGCTCTGTTGTACTCAAACACCCCTGAGAATTGGCTATTGTTTTCTGGAAGTCAAAAGCTGCCTTAGTTGGGCATTTTAATGGACACAGCTCCAGCTTGGGCTGTTTAAGGTACAGCTGGGAGCTTGTTGAGTTTAGACAACCACTATTAAAATGAGAGGGACAGCTGAATTTAAGGCCCTGGCCATACTATGTACCAAATTGAGCAAAGTTTAAGTAACTCATTTAGATTTCATAAGGATTTCAGCTATAATGAATATTGTTTCTAAGACTGCTTTCAGTACTGAGCTACTTCTGTATTGATGAAAAAGTCTGGAAAAATATTAACCAAATAACAAATGAGCACAGATATTCCAGTGCTGTTCTGTATAAATAGAAGAGTTTCCAGCTGAAAATAAAATGGGCTCTGACTGTATTTAGTGCATCCATAACCTTACTGGACATGAATATATTGTATAGAACTCATCTTGAGCTGCTGGGGTTTGTAAACAACTATTATATAATACTGATGAATAACATAGTTATTACTTTTCTGTATATTCTCTTGTTTATCACCTTTGTTCTATGGGAATTAAAACTGCTTGAGCAGCCAATGATGTGTTTGTGTCTGTGTGCAGCCATGACTGGATCTGGAGTAACACTGAGGTAATAACTCACAGCAGTACCCACCTTTTCTGAGGAAACAGTGCACAACACAGGGGAGTTGCAAACACGAGACTAGAGGAGACAAAACCAGGTTTACAATATTTAGAGTGCTAAAACAGAATTCAAAAATCTTACACATGATTTAAGTAAAAAGCTTGTTTTCTGTACACAGTGAGGTAAAGTTCCACAAAGTGCTTTGTAACTTTTATTTCTCACTGCATTGTACCTTATGAAATCATTACCTACAAATAGCACTAAATGTTTCAATATAATGTTCCCAAATTTGTCTAAATTTGCCATTTGATGTCCTTACACTGCTTTACCTTTGTGTGCATGACAACAGAAAACGCCAGAACACAGCAAATTAAACCCTATTAACCAAAAGTTTCCAGAATGATCAACCTCCAGGATGAGATTCCACTGACTGTTCAGAGGTAGCAGCCAAAGCATCTTTTCTAATCAAGCTGCCACATTCCTTTTTTTGCCACTCCCTTTCTCCCCTCCCTCTGGCTTTTCTTGGCAGCTCCTTCTCTGCTAACGGCTTTTTAGTTTTTAACATTTTATCAGTATTTTATCAGTTACAGAGATGGAAATAACTGCTGTGCCCTCAGTAACTCTCAACCTTTTTTCCTTAAAAAAAAAAAAAAAAAGCAAATATTGCTGCATTCTCAAAACCCCTACAAGTATCTCTTAAGATAGCAGACCCAACCCAAGGAAACACTTACCAGAATCCAACTATTCCAACCTGAACGGGAGCGTTCATCCAAGGAAATTTCTGTTGAAATAAAACCACACACAGTGAGTATGGACTCTTTTCTTCCAGCTTCCCACCTTCCTGGAATTCTTTTAAGAGACAGATTGCACCTAAAAGACTCTGAGATGTGAAGGCAAAGCCCTGACCAGCTGAGCTCCACTTTGGGAGCCAAATCCCTTTGGAGAGCAGCAAGGAAATTCCCAGGGGGGATCAGTGTACACAGAGATCCTGAGGAAGTGTCAGAAACTCCAGTGAGTTTGTTTGTTTGACTCAGGACCTGCTCCAGGGCCTTTGCTTTGGGTCTCACAAGGCCACAGCAGCATCAGAGCTGAAATTTGGAAGTTTCCAAGTGGTGCTGCCCCACCTCTGCAGGGCACAGGGAATTCTGCCCAGGCATTCCAAGGAAGAGCTCAGTCTGGTTACAGCTCCTTCCTTTTGGTGGCATCAAATGGTTTTAACCTGCAACTGGAGCCACCAGCCATAAATAAAGGAGATGTAAATCTGCCTCTCTTTGCCCTTTCTCCTGTCATAACATTTCCCCTGATGTGCAGGAACTTGTCCCTGTAGCAACACTCCAGTTCTGCAGGAGTTCACCTTTTATTGAAGAAAAGAAGGGTTTGAGGACTGGGAAAACCAAGCTGAAAAAGCAACACATAACCCACATGCCTCATTAATTCTGTAACTTTTGCAGAACTTGAATATATGCCAAGAATAAATTATTTTGCAGGCTTTTAAAATTATTTAGGAATCCACTCTCATTGGTAGAATTTTAGTTGAAATTCATTACCAATGGAGCAAACCTAGAGCTGTTCAGTGGCCACTGCTGCCTCTTGCTCCATTAAGAACAGAACACAGCTGCCATAAGGACACAAAGGGAATTTTAAAATAAAACAGCTCACGAGGTAAAAATCACTTGAGACAGCTGATGATGTTTTCAGTGAAGATGGTGTTTCTGCAAGAAGAATTTCTCAAGATATAGAAGTTAGAGGGAAAAAAATGGTGAACAAAAGCTGGGCATTGTTTGAGAATAGAAATGGGCAAAGGAAATGTAGAAAGCTCAGGAGGACAAAGCTCAGGGCTGAGGGAGGGAAAATGAGCCTGTGTGGAGCAAAACTTCTCCAGAGCCTGAGGGAGAAGAAACAATGTAGAAGACTGCTTCTCTTTTCTTTATTTTTTTTTTTCCTGGAGTCAATCTGTAATGCAGAAACGAGTGCAGGAAGAACTGGGCAATTCAGCAATAACCTGTACAAGAGATAACAAATGGAGACAGAAAACAACAGCAAGAAGAGTGAAGAGTGAAGGGAGCAGTGCTTTGCTGTTCTGGCATTCCCTGAACACCCCCATCTGACCCTCAGCTGAGATAAACTCACCCCAAATGTTCATTTTATGCCCTGGGAGAGTGCATGCCAAGAGGAGGTGAACACAAGCCAAACCCTGCAGTGTCTCTGAGAAGGGAGGGAGGGGGATGCTGTGCATTGCAGGGGAGTGTGGGACCCAAGGGATTGAACAGAAAAGCCCCAAAGACAATTTTATAACTGAGAAGGCTGTTGGAAGGTGCCCTGAGAGGAATAAATGGTTTTATGCCTTTGTCAGAGTTAGTCACTGATCTGCGAGAGAGGTGTCTAATACAGACTCCATAAAGAACATGGAGTTTATGTGCTGGAACATTTTTTGCCAATTTGATCTGAATTCCAGCCTTTATTTTTCAAGAATGCTACCAGGCTGCACTAATACAGAAAGATGGTGAGGAAAAAGTAACACTGGGAGGTCAGAATTAAGAACTGGAGTTGCCCAGGGAACGACATAAAACAATAAAATTCAAATGCAGGCTGCACACCCCCACAAAGAGAGAAAATGGAGAAACTACAAGAGAAAGAGCAGAAGAATTCAGTGTGTTAGAGAACTATCATTTAACTCAGGAAGAAGGCAGTTCCCAATGAATTAGGATTGAATTTCCAGATGTCTTTATGACATTTTAGTGGTTAGTGCAAGCAGAGAAAACGGAGAAATGATAATTAAGCAAACAAAAGCCATAAGGAGAATCAGCTTTTCTCTAACTGCCTCCTTTCTTTGTTGGATATAAAAATCTGTCAGCTTTCCTATGTCTGTTTTCAAAAAATAAATAAATGAAATGACAGTGAAATTAGGAATGTGTGGAGGACTTCAGGGCATAAGACATTCAAGAACAATGCTTGAAGGAAAAGGCTCTCTGTTCTGGTTTTGTAACAGCTTTGAACACAGATTTTAGCTGCAGATTGAAAGATCCCAAGGAGCTTGTTTCAAGGATGCATGAGGAAACTTCTAGAATCAACTTGGATGGTAATACAATTTACAGAACAGAAGAGAAACTGTAGCTAAAGCTGTGTAAAAGTAGTAATATAAACTGCAACTTTAGTGTTGATTGGAATTTTCATAAGTTTATATGGAAAAAACCAATCTATTTCTTTAGATTATTACCTGTAAATAAAATCTATCAACCCTGGGCCTCAGGGCAAGGCTCTTTATGGATCCTCCTGGGCAGCAGGTAAAATAACCTGGTTCTGCACAGAGCTGGTCAGGAGTATGGCCACAGGGATAATGAAAATAAACATTCTGCAGCCCCATCAATTACTGCTATGCTGCATAATTACATAAACAGGCCCCAAAGCTGCTGCTGAAACCAATGGCAAAAAAAACCCAAAACTTCAACAGATAAAAATACTTCTTCAAGGCAACTTCTTTTTGAAGCAGTAAATACGTGCTTGTGTTCCAAGAACATTCTTGAGGCATCTTCTAGCAGGAACTTCTGGGAATGTTGTTAATTCACACCAATGCCTTGGTGCAGAACCCTGTGGGAACGTGGGGGATGAGCTGGGCTGCATGACCTACATCTTATCCCAAAAATCCCAAAAATCACAGGCTGCTCTGAGACCAACATCCCAGGGGCATCTCCTTCTATGTCTTACTTTCTAATTTCTTTTATCATTTCACAAACATTTACCTATTTTTTGGCCTTGTGTGTTGCTTAAGAGGCTTTGGCAAGCAGTCAGGAATTATTTCCAAGAGTGGTGGAGAAGCAGAGGCCGAGGGTAGTGAGTTAATAAAGCAGTGTGGGGAGGGTGGTGGAGTGCTGGCATGGGATGGTACTTCCCAAACTCCATGAGGACATGCAGAAGCTGCTGGTTAAAAATGCAGCTCATTCCTTAATGGGTTTAATGCTAATCTCTACCAGGTGTTACCACTGGCTACCTGCAGAGCAGTGTTTCACCTGGATTCAGTCTCTGAGGCTGAGGGACAGGACAGGATGGTACCAGAGACCACTGAGTAGTCACTGCAGAAATCGCTCATTTTGGCTGATCTGTAAAATTCACAACACCCTTATGTTGATTACACCACACAAAACCAACAGGTATTTGTCTCCAGACCATGAGGATTGCTGCAACTTCTTCACAAATGTCATGTGCTTGTCAGCTGAGGCAATGGCTTTGTGACATTTCTCACGTGTCAAATACATACCAAATAACTTTTCCCTAAATTTTTTTAAACAAGGGTTAATTTTCCAGGCAATACATTCTCAGGAACATCACAGTATCACAAGTTGTGGTGTGTTTGGATGCCCTGCAGGCTCACTTCTTCCAGGAGATAAAAGCAGCACACACTGATTCTTACCCTGAAACTCAAATGCCACGTTTCCTGTTTTTACACTGTGAGCAAAAATGTTTTTCTGTTAAAAAGTGGGAGGGAAGCAAAGCACTTTAGGCAAAAAGAAGTTTGAAGATTGGAAGACAATCACAGAATGGTTTGGGTTGGAAGGGACTTTCAAGACCATCCAGTTCCACCCCCTTCACTATCCCAGGTTGTTCCAAACCCTTTCCAGCCTGGCCTTGGACACTTCCAGGGATGGGGCAGCCCCAGCTGCCCCAGGAAATCTGTTCCTGCCTTATAAATACAGAAACACTTTCAAATGGGGTGTGTGGCTGGGTAATCTCACTCTGCACAAGAGACACAAAGGTAGAAACAGAGATAAAATTTAAACACTTTAGAAAGGTTTATCTTAGACAAACAAAACTATTCCAAACAAAACATTCCCCTGCTTGTCCTCCTTGTCCCCACACAAACTTTTCCAAGGCAGGGTCTGGTTTTTTTCTTCATTTTTCTAACAGGAAGGAGACAGATTTTCTTGGGCTTCTTGGGTGGGTCTCACAAGCAGAGGCTTTGCCTGCAGCTACCAAATAATTAAATCAGTGATATCAGCAGTGAGGATGAAACTGCCTTTACTGGTAAAGAATTAAAGGGTTCCTCACCTGAATATTATCTCCCTTGTGTCAGACAACCCTAACTAATTCCATGGTTGTTCTTTTCCCTCTCATGCTCACACTATGCAGAATGTTGATTTAAGTAATGGATTTACCAACACCAGGGGTTTGACTTCACACTACATTAGCATAAAAAGAATATAGGAAATAAATAATCTTTGATAAAGATTGCCCATTCTATGCCTGCCATGCACTTTACACCCAGTAAATTTTAAAGGATAATTTTCAAAAGAGATTTTTACCATCATTTTTGTTTGCAAACTCAGATTGCTACTACAGCAGGTAAGCAAAGCCTCTTTATTGCTGTCTTGAGAAAACCAGCATTATTAAAATGTTCTTTTTTTTCCCCCAATAAATTGTATTGCAAGACTCAGTACAAGAAAGGTTTATTTCACAGGAGGAAATGTGCATTCTAAGAACAACTATGACAGTAACAAATTTGTTCCTATTTTCTCAATGTTACCTTGCACTGTGACAAAAGAACCAAGTTATCTCTAAGGCAGAAGGAAAGAGACAGCTGTTAAGCAAGTTCTACAGGGATGTCCTCCCACAGTGTTTGGGAGGCAAATATGAAGATTCAGGAAGTATTTAAAATTCATTAAAATATTAACTTAGGGTATGAAATACATCGAGATTGATTATCTAAGACTAACCTTTAAAAAGGCTTTCTTTTCCAGGGTATTCATTATGAATGGAGGAATTGCTGCAAGTAAGATAAAAAAGGGTATTAACCTTGGAGAGAATGGCCCTTTGTTTTCATTTCCTGAACTTTGTTTTCATTTAGCTGAACTAATGCCATAATACAATTTCCACAGCTTTTTGTCATTCATTCACTGAATTTTCATTTCACATTGCCAGCTAGATTGGTATTTACAAAGGTGAATAATAACATAAAATTAATAAGTAAAACCTGCAATTTCACAAGTAACTAAACCTGAGCTCAGTCATTTGGCACTGGCAGAGCACCTAAACCAACTCCAAGCAAGTGGAATTTGCTCCCATTCCTTTGCTCTCTGCATATTTTCTGCAGAAGCATCCCAGGAGCTTTTCCTGGGATCCCACATTTCCCTGGGGAAGTTCTAAACAGAAAAGCAAACACTGCCTGGGGAGCTGTAAGGGAATTTGAACCCTCAGGAAAATCTCAGCAGGGACTGATGAGAGTGCACAGGGTTTTTCCTTACCCATGCCAGGAGCAGCCATCAGGATCCTGGATATCACCACCTGGGCAATTGCCTGCTGAGCTGCTTTGGATGACTCACCCACTCTTTTTCCATTCTCATCCGTGACAGGAATTCCAAACTTGATTTCCCTGTTGAATAAGGGGTAAAAAAATAAAGCAGTGATGGATGTGAACTTATTTTTTCATCATTTTTTTGTCACCTTATCTTTGTTCCTTAAAATTGTCAACTGTAAGAATTGGGTGGTTTATTTTATTTTCTAAGCCAGTCTGTTTGTAACATTCCTTGGCACAAGAAAAAAATCCAAAAGGCAGAGAAAGATCAAGGAAAAATATGTTGAGAAGTTACCAACTGAATATTTGTAACAGCAATCTGCTGCTTGAGTTTGGTCTCAGCATTCCAAGGGGGAAAAAAAGGAGATGATTTTCTGTGTTTCACAGAAGGGAGAGGATCCTTTACACATTAATTCAGAAAAATGGAATTTTCTGGACTGCTCTGGAAGTGGAGCCTGTCCTATCTGACAGCTCATGGAACACAGGAAGATTATTTTCACTGAGTTGAAACAGAAGGCTCTGTGAAAATTCCCCCCTGGCATTCTAGCCTGAGCTGTCATTTCAGCCATGAAGAATATACTTGAAAGTATAAAAGGAGGCACAAACCAAACAATGTTTCTGTAACTGAACTATTCTCTATTAGATCTTTTGCTCAAGTGCAGGGTTAGGTGTTAAACTCACACTGGCAGAAGCACAGAGAACAGCAAATATCCTCAGGACTGCCTTTATTCTTCTCTTCAGATTTTACAAAAAAAAAAAAGCCAACAAAAAACAACTTCCATTGTAAAGTCTAAATATTCCCTTTTCTGCCCAGAACCTTGTGTTTATAATAGGAATCTTTAAATTTGCTTTTCCCTACTACTATTCTATTCCTAGTCAAATCACAACACAGAAAAAAAGTTTGTTTCTGACAAGCTGCACATTTTTGTCACCTCAATGATTAAACAGAACTGCAGAGCCTGACTTCTATGACTAAGCTCTGCAGGTGGGATTTCAAGCACCATTTTTGAAATGACTGTTTTTCCCAAGTGTTGCTGCTATTCAAAGATCCATGTGATCAAAGTTTTGAAGGAACCAGTAACTGGTTTCTGAGATCCAAGACTGAAGAACTCTTTGGTATTTATCTGAAGAGAATTATTATGTTCTATTTTATAGCTGTTACAAACAACCAGTCAAAACCTCATGCATGAGGTTTCTGCAAGGTTCTGAAACAAGCTAAAGATACAAAATGTGCTTTATTTAGTAACTTGCTGATCTACCAACTGAAAAACATCTTTTTTTTCCAGCATGAGTGATCTTTGTTCTTTTTCCTACCTTTGTCTCATTAGTGGAATATTGATGCAGTTGGCAGCAGCAACAGCAGCAAAAGGAACAAACCTCCCTACGAGAGGCGAGACGCGCTGGAAAACACAGAGAGAGGGGAGAAAAAAGGAAAATAAAAATATACATAATCATTATCTTCACTGAAATGCTTCAGCTGGTAGTGACAGACCAGATTTTTTTCCTTTACATTAAAATCCAGTGAAAACTCACTGGTGGGGCAGAGGCAGAACAAGCTTCAAACAAGAAATAAGTCAAAAATGCTTCTCTCAGGAGTGAGCAGGGGCAGGAGAGTAACAAAACCATTCTGAGTTTAGCAGCATCACAGAGAAGTGTAATTAAAACTCCAATTAATTTCCCAAGTGCTATTAGATGCCTTGAAAGGTGAAAAAGAAACTGGCAAAAAGGCACCTTATCAGACAGAGTCTGCATGACCCTAACATGGGCTGTTTGACAGATATGCACAAACCCATCTCCACAGGGAAAAAACAAAGCTGGGATCTAAGGAAAGGAGCAGCCATAACAACTCCACAGTGGGAGCTGTGCATGCCACAGATACAGCAGAGGAGAATGAGCTGGGAGCTCCTCACAGGACATCACAGTTTAGTAAGAATAGAAAAATTACCATCAATACCTTAGCTAGGGAATTAAGTCCTAAGGCTGTAGCGACAGCACCTGTGGTGGCAGAAACATAGGCAGTTCCCAGCTGGCTAAAACAGAAATCAAAATGTTTGTACATGCACAGCTACACTGAAAAACAATTACATTTTACACACACAGTTATGGCCCCCCCAGAAGTTAAATAGGATTTCCTGTGCTACTGCAATAAGGTGGGGATGGAAGATCTAAATGGGAACTGAATTAAACACTTTGATTTCACTAGCAGTAAAAATCTTATTCAAGCCACATTGTAATACTGAATCAGGTTCTGCTGGTTGTGCATTGCTGCCTGTTCAGCATTTTCTCAGGTACCTGAAAGAACACCTTGAAGGGTTAGTTCTTTATTTAATTTCCTAATTGCTTAACCTAGTAAAATCAGTTTGGATTTCCAAGGCCATGTCTATAATAGTCTTTAAAATAACCATACCAAACCCCATACACCCAGACCAGCTGTGCTGCAAACACTCAGATCCAACCCAACCTGCCCCAAACCACACTTTACATACTTCCCAGCTAGGAGGTGTCTCCAGATGCTGGAATTCACAGTTTGCTCCCAGACATCTTTAAACAAGTCAGCCCCAAAACCAGAAAGTCAAGTACTGCAATTCCAGTTTTCTATTCATAGAATCATAGAATGGTTTGGGAGGAACCATGGAGTTCATTCCATTCCACCCCTGCCATGGGCAGGGACACCTTCCACTGTCCCAGGCTGCTCCCAGCTCCATCCAGCCTGGCCTTGGGCACTGCCAGGGATGGGGCAGCCACAGCTTCCCTGGATAACTGTGCTAGGGCCTCACCACCCTCACAGGGAAGACTTTTTCTGTTTATCTAACCTAAATTTCCCCTCTTTTAGTTTGAGATGTCTTGCTTTCCTCATCTATTTAATCTCTTTCCCAGCCATCAAATAGAAACAAGCACAGACCAGGGGAAGGAATCTCTTTTAGTAAATGAACCCTCAGTGTGGTGTGTGCTGGCACCACAGTGACACAACTAAAGGCCCCCACAAAATATCAGCTTAGAAATGTCCTGGTAGGACACCAAACTGATGAGGAAAACTTGCAAATGTTTTGAAACACTGACTCCTGTTAAATCCTGCTAAGTGCTCCTGATCAAAGTGCTCAGGTTTGTCTTTAATGGCAGAAATGGAGTTCTCAGCTCTGCCCTTCTCAGACTTCTCATCTGTGCATATCAAATGAATAATTAGTACAGATGGAAAAACTTATCCCTGTCTCATCTCAAACTTTAATGCCCAGCCATTTTCATGTACACCAGAGAGCCATTTCTACTCATCAGAATGATGAGGTTCAGTGCCTGACCTGACAGAGATGGGGGCATCCCCACTCCTGTTGGTGTAGTTCACTATAGCATTGAAGGACTGGTTGATCCACTGCCAGAAAAGCACAGCTGGTGTCGTTCTTAAAAAGAAAAACAATTGTTATTATTGTTATTAAACTCACAGTTGAATTAACAGCACAAGAAAATGATGAGAAATCAAGAAAAGCCACTGCAAGCAGTAACCATGCAGAAGTTCTTGCTTATTTGAATGCAACAATACAGTCAGTGAGATACTGATACTTGATAGTCAGAGTTATTTTAGAAGAAGAATTTTAAAATCACCTAGTTTTGAACCTGAATAATACTGCAAAGAAAAGGGAGAGAGCTTCTCTAAGTGTTATAGATAATAACAGAACAAACAGTTTGCAGGAGGCAGTGCTTGGGAATGGGCACCTGGGGGTTTGATTCATCCTCTTGACTGTGATTTAAAGCACACATTTTATAAACACCACCCAAAACTGGGGTGTGTGTCAGGAGTTTGTACAATCTCAGCATCCAAAGGGCTGCTGCTGTTTCCTCTGACCTCCCACCAGTTCCTGCATCCTGTGTCAAAAATTGAGGCTGCTAAAAGAGCACTGGCTCTGCTTCAGGGGGCTTCACTGTCCTGGAGATTCCAGAACCACTGAGGAAGTGCAGGGGAGCTGCAGAAACTCCACAACCAATGGCCATGTCTACAACAGTAATCAAAATCAACCATACCAAATGGATTGAAGCATTGCGAGTACTCACGGGGCAGACAGAACATCCTGCATGCCAGCAAGGCTGGAAATTCCCAGGGATCTCCTTCTCTTTGTCCTCCACACAGATGGGATTTTGGAACATTTCCCAGTTTGAGGGAAAGTGGGATGGTGAAGGAGAAGGGCTAAGGGCTTATCTCAAAACTACTTCTAGAAAGAACCGTTAATCAACGGGAGGGAATGAGGAGAGAGAAGAGGAAAAGGAAGGAAAAATTTCACATTTAAAAATATTTACAATAAATCTTTGAACAAGAACATTGATTTTCAGTTCTCTAATTCTCTCAGGCAAATGTTTGATGTGTTTCACTGCCCTCTCTCACCTGTAGAAGGTCATCATGCAGCCTGTGATAGTCATGTTCATGGGCACCTGGGCAGACATTCGGCCGATCACGAACATCTTCTCCCCAGTGTCGGGGTGAAAGGCTGAATCATAAATGTATTTTGCTCTCCACAGCTCATCTTCTGTCAAGCCAGGTGCCACAATACCTTGTCTTGGCACAGGTTAAGAGACAAGACAACAGCAAAAAGAACAAGTGTTATAAAATGCTGCAAATGCCCGTGAGAGGCAGCAGAGGATTTGGGGATGTTCACCCTCAGTGAATGGAGACTCTCAGAGAGCTTGTAGAGATTTGTCAGCTTTTAAATGGATTGGTGAAATAAAAAGAATTAAAACAACCAGCAGTGGTGGTGCTGGCTGAGTCTATTTACTCAAAGCTGCACTCAGGCTTTAGAGCTAAAATGTGGAGCCAAAATCTCTGAGGTCATTAGTGTGAAAGGATGAAAATTCACTTTGAGAGTATTTAAGAAACCAACTGCTCCAAATGCTACACATAAGAGGAAGTTTTAAGCTTTGTTGTCATATTAACTACCTTCAGAATTAGATTCTTCTGTATTTCAGAATCCTTAAGAGGGACATAACTTCCCCATCCATTAGCAAATTTGATGAAAAATAAAAGGCTTTCAAGCTCTGAAGTGGGAATAAGCAGTTACAATGAATACAGTGTTTTAAGTATTTCCTTTTAAATATTTCACTATGTACCTAGCATTGACTTGGACTTTTTGGGACCAGTAGTAGAAGTAGTCAATGTCATACCTGTAATCATGCACAATTTTTTTTGCCTTTTCCAGTGTGGCATTGGATAACAAAATATTCCTGGGGTCTGTGACAGTGAAGAAGTGATTGGCTCGTCCAGCAAAAGTGCTTTGATCCCATCGAGGCTCCTTGATATTAATATTTAATGGGAGAGATGGTGCCATCTTCAAAAGCTCTGCCAAGAAAACATCAACATTTGCAATTCAAAACACCACTCATTTCCTAATGTATTTAGAACCTGCAAGATGAAAAGTGGCCACATTTAGAGTAAAAAACCCGGAGAACAAACACCAAAGAATTTGCAGAACAGGGGTTTAAAGGAGTAAATCTGCAGAAATCCTTCTGTGTCCAGTGCCACAAAATGTTTACACATTATTTATTACCTTTGTACAAATACCTGAGGATGAGGCAGATGCAAAGGAAGCACAGAAATTTATTAATAAACAGACATACCAAACAACAGTATATTAATCAGAAAGTGCTTTACTTCAGTGATGAATTATTGTTTGTTGAAAATGATGTATTGAAGGGAATGAGAAATCAACTATTTCAAGAGATGCCTTAAGTCCTACACTGTGCAGTGACAGATGAAATATTTAATAAAATTCAGTTAACTTCTCTGGAGTAGCAAAACAAACCAAAAATTAGGAATCCAATTTATTTTAATAAATGTTGTTTCTCTAAATCCCTGTTGTAACAAAACAGAGATTATATAATCCAACAATTGCTACATTAAGAACACATGACCAGATCTCCTAATGATATTTCAAAGATGATTAAAGAGCTACAGTGAAGGACACTGAGGAGTTGTGCATTTATGGGGCATAAAGCTCAGAAAAGCAAAAATTACTTCAGGATGACTAAGTTCACTTCAACATCTAATGAAAACAGGACAGCCCCTCCACAGCACAAGTGTATGGATTTGAACTTTCTTAAAAGAAATTTCTGCAACAAATTCAACCACCAGTGGGAAAAAAATCCTCCTCCAAATAATGCTTGTTTCGAATGGCAGAAAGAATTTGGATCTACATAAACCCATTTTTATATATTTATAAATAAAGATTCAATTTTAGATGAACTTTAAGGTCCCTCCCAACCCAAATCCTTCTGTGATCCTATGATACAGAACACGAATAGATCTGGCAGGGGAAACTGAGCTTTTCCCCTTTTCTCAGCGACATTTCCCTCACTGTTAAGTTCATTATTGTACAGCAGTTTATGAGCAGGGTTATTTTCATGGGTACCTCTCTCAACCAGGCATGCTGCAGGATGAACACAGAAAAAAGCCTCAGGACAGATTTGGAGAACAGATTTTTCATGCACAGCATCTCAACAGGAGATGCTCCTTAGTTTCTTTTCCTTTTCTTAGTACTTTGCCATTAAACAACTCCCTCCTGTGAGCAGTGCTGTGTTGTGAATTAACAGTCCATCTTCTGGTCTAAAATGGGAACTGCTGGTTTTGCAAAGCCCTATGAAGGCAAGTGCACTCATTTATTCACACCCTCTTTTCCACCAAAATAAAGATAAAAATCAGGACATTAGGGCTGGTAACTTGTTCTGTGACTGCTTCCCTTATTTGCAGGAAAGTTCAAGTGTAAATATTTTCTAATTAAATTATCCATTTCATTAAGAAAGATTAAAGCTGCTTTAGGATGCTTATGATAATCTGGTTAAAGCTGTCTAATGAATGCTGAATAAAGCAGTGCATCCATAGAAGCTTTTTTCTTTCTTTTCATTCTGGGTAATTCTTTTCATTCTGATTAGAATATACACTACTGGCTTCTCTGGGAATTCCCTTTATTTACTTTATTTCCCTTTATTTCTGATACCTCTGATATTTCTGATATTATTTATACTTTATTTACTTTATGTCCCTTTATTTCTGATACCTCTGTTCAAAAGCCAAGTCCCTCAGTAATAAGAAATCTAAACATTAAGGATCTGCCTTTATTGCAGATCAATTCAGGATTGTTGCAGTCTGAAAGAATCAGAAAAGGTGAATGTACAGAACACAGGAGATCAAACACATCCTGTCTTCATCCCCTCCCACTTCATCCACTCTGTGTCTGCTCTGATGATCCTTGACCCAGGTGAGCTGATGGAATTTACTGTCTTGGCAGGAAACTAATGCAGCAGAGAGATTGTACTGGAGGGAAAGAAACTCCTGCAGCTGCCCAGCTGGGGTGACCTGCTGGAAAACTGTCGGGTTTTTGCGGCTGTTTGAGGGGCCTGGAAAGGCCCGGAGTGGCCTTGGGGCAGCCCGCGTATCGAAGGACGAGAAGAGGCTTCAGTTCTTCTTTCGGTTTTTATGTTTATTAATTGTTTATCTAAAAGATGTTCTTTCAGCCCGACAGAGCTCTGCTCAG